CCAAAGAAAAACGTTGAAAGATTTTGAGAAATCCCGAGGAAACAATTTAGAAATTACAAGCAAGCCTGGCTCCCTGGAAGCAAAATATAAAGAAATGAAAGGAGGCTCAAGACAGTACAGACCGTACTGTACTTTATAGCCTTTCACAGTATGTACACAGACGTCGCTTAAAGTCTAACAGACTTGTCCAACTGCATAACACGCACAGGATAGGTTGAGTTTGTTGACAATCAGTCCAACACAACAGATTTTTTCTTTTTTAATCAAATTCTGTCAAAACTTTCAGCTACAACTTGCATAACTCACCACACAGTCCCATATGCTCCCGTTCCGACCTGCTTCAAGTCTCGATACCGCTCCGGTACCTCCCACACGGTTCTGTTGATCTCCTGCTTGTAGAAGCCCGTCCTGGAGCGCACAGCCATACCCTACCGACGAACAAGGCTGCGGCTCCGCTCCAAACTCTCATGTGAAGAAATAAAAGTTCCACAGTGAAGAGCAGCTGTAGAAACTGCTGGGGCGCAAAATTCCTCCAGATGCGATCTCTTGTGCGCTTTGGAGGGTCGATACTCACGGCCCCCCAGGACGCACACGCAAGTACACGCAGACTCACACGCACTGAATTGTTAGTGGTTGTTTCTGGTCGCCCATGGCACTCCGTGGGTGTGTCTACAATGTGGGGGAAAGACTGCAAAACATCTGTCCACCCTATAAGGTTAGGTTCCCCCTGCTATGCGTCCCTTCAGAGCTAACCTTGGCTTCTAATATAAAGTCAGTAAGCTTTCTTTTTATTTGTTTTGGGGATTTTTTAGGATCTTGATGTTATTTTGAGTTATAAGTTATATTTTCTTTTACACCTGGTTGTGTGCACCTCAGTTTAAATACCTGATATACATGTCAGCGCTTTTAGCAGGGGCATGTCCAGAGTGGGTGCATGGGGTGCCTTGACCCCAAATCCAAAATATAGGATGTCTGAGCAAAATCCATGTTCAGCCATCTTAATTAATTATTGGCTACACAAATTTAATTTTTTTTGAATTCCTTGCTCTGAGAGTCCAAACGCACTGCAACTTTAGAAAATTTCTGGAAAGCACAAAAAACACCTTTGGATGTTAAATAAACACAACAAAAGCAGAAAAAGTGAAACAATGGAAGTAGAAAAAAATGCTAGCATTTGGGGGGAAGATAAAGATGTGACGGAACAGCTGCAGACACGACAGAAATCCAAATATGCGAAGGATTTTACTGAAACATGCTTAAAAGAAGGGGAGGCTTCACTGGTGATGTGAGGGAGAAAAGATGCTAGGCAATGTGTCTTTTAATCACATTATTCATAAAATACTGTTTATGTTTGCTATTTACTGTTTAGCCTGTCATCTCTGAATTACTGGCCCCCAATAACAAATTCTGTGTATATGAGGGGTTTTTGTGTGTGGGCTCTTGCTATTTTTTTTTCTCTTTTATTCAACTTTGATCGTCTTTGTGTATTTTTCCAGTGCTGGTGTTTTCTTACATTGCAGTGCATTTGTCCTCACAGGGCCACTGTATATTTTTGAAATATACAAAATATACTGCAAATTCCCTGTGAGAAAATCCATTTAGTCAGTTGGAACACCCCATTAAAAAGCAAACAAACAAAAATGGAAAACCTGTTTTCTTCAGAGCAAAACAAATATTCAATGATGATGTTTGTAGTGTCTGAGTTTTACATGTAAAACCACCATCATCATCTAGATTGCTTATGTCTTATTATTATGTCTTTACAGTATATATTTATGTCAACACTGTATTTTATTCACAATGAATGGTTCTAGTCCAAACTATAAAAATCACACGTTTAATGATATGAAGTATGCAAGAATGATGTGTACTCTATGTGAGACATTTTGGCAAACAGAGATGATCGAGTTTATTCTGTTGAAGCCAAAGCTTAAACGTCATGGTGCTGTCTGATGACGAGAAAATCCTTTGAATCATTTGGAAACTAAGAGCTGACATTCATTTTAGCGATTTGAAACTCAGGACTACAGTTGACTCACACGCCACCATGTATTCAAAAGTCACCTATAACTTGTAACAAACATACATACATACATATACATTCAGGTTGCAGTTGCTAATTAAATCCACCACATATACAACATAAGCACATAACACTGTAACATTCAGAGCTCACACCTTGACTGAGACACAGTTTTGATTAATTTAGACTTCAAATTCAACATTTTTCATCCAGTATTAGTGGAGAACTTGCACAAAAGGCTACATGTAGCACTCCAGTGTGAACCAATCTGGGGGAGAAAGGAAAAATATAAGAATAAACTTTTTGTCTTGTGTCTTTAAAGAATTATTCTTCACGCAGACGTAATCTTGCTGGTTGAGTTTAACGTGAGCAGATTGAATCAAGAAACTCAGAAGACTTTGCATTACTGCGATGGAGCACATATGG